TATTATTTACTATCACCATGGCAAAGATAAAATAAATCTGTTATTAGAAATGAGTTATTAAAACTATTATGATTAGAAATGTGCTGAAAAAAATATTCTCTGTTAAACAGAAATTGGGGGAAAAAATAAACAGGGGGTAATAATTCTGACCTCAACTGTACATAAATATTTACAGTCTTTGCTATGAAGCTCTAAGTTGAGCTCAGGTACATTCTGTTTCCACTGATCATTCTTGTGATGTTTCAGCAGCTTAATTGGAGTTTAACTGTGGTAAATTCAGCTGATTGGACCTGATTTGAAAAGGCATACACCTGTCTATATAGGGTCCCAGGGTTGGCAGTGCATGTCAAAACATAAACCAAACATGAAGACAAAGGAATTGTCTGTAGACTTCTGAGACAGGATTGTCTCAAGACACAAGGCTGGGGAAGTTTACAGAAACATTTCTGCTGCTTTGAAAGTTCCAATGATCACAATGGCCTCCATCATCCGTAAGTGGAAGATGTTTGGAACCACCAGGACTCTTCCTAGAGCTGGTCGGCCATCTAAGCTGAGTGATTAGGGGAGAAAGGCCTTAGTCGGGGAGGTGATCAGCAACCCGATGGTCACTCTGTCTGAGCTCCAGCGTTCTTCTTTGGAAAGAGGAGAACCTAACAGAAGGACAACCATCTGTGCAGCAACCCTCCAATCAGGCCTGTATGGTAGAGTGGTCAGACAGAAGCCACTTCCGGCCTGCAATTTGCCAAAAGGCATCTGAAGGACTCTCAGACCATAATAAACTAAATTCTCTTGTCTGATGAGACTAAAATTTAACTTTTTGGAGTGAATGCTAGGCATTACATTTGGAGAAAAACAGGCACTGCACATTACCAGGCTAATCCCATCCCTGTGAAGTATGGTGGTGGAAGCATCATGCTGAGGAGATTTTTTTCAGCAGCAGGAACTGGAAAACTAGTCAAGATAGAGGGACAGATGAATGCAGCAATGTACAGAGATGTCATGAATGAAAACCTGCTTCAGAGTGTTATTGACCTCAGACTGGGGCAACGGATCATTTTCTAGCAGGACAATGACACAAAGCACACTCCCAAAATATCAATGGAGTGGCTTCACAACAACTTCGTGAATGTTTTTAAGTGGCCCAGCCAGAATCCAGACCTAAATCCTATTGAACATTTCCTGAGAGATCTGAAAATGGCTGTACACCTTCACTTCTAATCCAACCTGATAGAGCTTGAGAGGTACTGCAAAGAGGAATGGGCAAAATTACCCAAAGACAGGTGTGCCAAGCCTGTGGCATCATATTCAAAAAGACTTGAGGCTGTCATTGCTGCTAAAGGTGCATCAACAAAGTATTGAGCAAAGGTTGTGAATACTTATGCACGTGATTTTTCAGTTTTTTTATTTGTAATAAATTTGCAACAATTAAAATAAATGTCACATTGTGATTCTGTGATTTTGTGTGTAGAATTTTGAGCAAATAAATGAATTAAATCCATTTTGGAATAAAGCTGTAACATAAAAAATGTGGAAAAAGTGAAGCGCTATAAATACTTTCTGAATGCACTGTCACTTAATTGATTTGGGTTGGAACTACATTTTGGGACAACATCTTGACAGCACAAGAAATTGTGGAACCCAGCATTTTTTACAGTGTATATTTCTCATCTGTCAGCAAAATAATCTAAATCATCGAGCTTCACATAACCAAGCAAAGCACCTTCAGAAAGCCAGACTGAAGTAGCATAGATGAGTGGAGCAGTGCGACAGATATTTGTCTTCACTTGCTCAAAGTACATTTTTAATAACTCCACTCTGTATTTTCTCTGAGTGGAACGGCAAAGGAAACAACAACACGCAAATAATCGTGAAACACACTTCAAATGCTCATTGATCATATTTTCGATGTAAACAAAAAAAATCACACAACTCTCCATTCACTAGAGAAAACGCAGACAGTACAGCTTTCAAAACACCTGGTCCACACCATCACTTTTACCTTTACAGTTAAAATCACAATCATCTCAATGGAAAGTCAATGCAATTATTCATGCTCATTTAATAATAAAATGGAAGGAAGAGTTAGTTACTGATACTGATAAGGAAACATGGGATAATATTTGGTCTAATGCAAAGAAAACATCTGTTTGTATATGTATAAGAGAAATACAATATAAAATAATACACAGACTCCATATCCCCCCTAACCCCCTAATGTGTTAAAATGTAAAATTAGGTACTTTAACGTATTGTATGTGGACATGTAACAGACTGCAAGGGTTTTGGTCTTTGGTGCTGGGGGCAATGAAAAAGATCTTAACATGCAGCTGGATTTTGACCCAGTTTTATTGTTTTTGGGTATATCTAATGGACACATTTTTTCATCAGCTAATAAGAAATTGCTAAATATATTATCCTTGCCGCGAGAAAAAAAAAAACTTTTACTTAATTGGATTAGTGATAAATCTCCATCACTTAAAGTTTGGCACAAGAGTTAATTTCCCTGGAACATCTTACCCATGTTTTACACAAAACAGAATGTTTTTTCAACGTTTAGACTCCATATTTGGATTGTTTGGAACCTAGTCTTTACCCTACCATGCTAAAAGGAATATTATAACTTAATTTTTTCTAAAACAATAAGCAATGTTTTTTTTTTATTTGGAGTGGTCCTGTTTTATACAGTTGAAGTCAGAATTATTAGCCCCCTTTTGATTTTTATTTTCTTTTTTAAATATTTTCAAACTGATGTTTAACAGAGCAATGAAATTTTGACAGTATGTCTGATAATATTTTTTCTTCTGGAGAAAGTCTTGTTTGTTTTATTTCGGCTAGTATAAAAGCAGTTATTAATTTTTTAAAAACCATTTTTGGGACAAAATTATTAGCCCCTTTAAGCAATTTTTTTTTTTCAATAGTGTGCAGAACAAACCATCGATATACAATAACTTGCCTAATTACCCTAACCTGCCTAGTTCACCCTATTAACCTAGTTGAGCCTTTAAATGTCACTTTAAGCTGTATAGAAGTGTCTTGAAAAATATCTAGTAAAATATTATTTACTGTCATCATGGAAAAGATAAAATAAATCAGTTATTAGAAATAGGTTTTTAAAACGATTATGCTTAGAAATGTGCTGAAACAATCTTCCCAGAACAGAACAGAAATTGGGGAAAAAAATAATCAGGGGCGCTAATGATTTAGGGGGGCTAATAAATCTGACTTCAACTGTATATAATCTGAGGCTTTTTTTCCCTCTCTATTGTTTTGTGTTGATATTTTTCTTTGCATGTCTTTTTTAAGTTTTATTGTTATGTCTGTATTATTGTAAAAATCCAATAAACCTAATTATAAATATATTTTATAGAATAAATTATAGATTTATTAGCCCCCCTTTAATTTATCTATGTCTTTTTTTATTATTACCCAAACTTTGTTAAACAGGGCAAAGAAATTTTCACAGTATATCTGATTTTTTTTTTTTTTCTTCTGGAGAAAGTCTTCGGCTAAAACAAAAAGCAGTTTTAATTTTTTTAAAAACCATTTTAAGGTCAAAATTATTAGACCCTTTAAGCTATATTTGTTTTCGATAGTCTCCAGAACAGGTGACGCAGTGGCGTAGTAGGTAGTGCTGTTGCCTCTCAGCAAAAAGGTCATTGGTTCGAGCCTCGGCTGGGTCGGTTGGCGTTTATGTGTAGAGTTTGCATGTTCTCCCCGCATTCGTGTGGGTTTTCTCTGGGTGCTCCCGTTACCCCCACAAATTCAAAGACATGTGGTACAGGTGTATTGGGTGAGCTAAATTGTTCTAAGTGTATGTGTGTGATTGAGTGTGTATGGATGTTTCCCAGTGATGGGTTGCAGCTGGAAGGGCATCCGCTGCCTAAAACATATCCTGGATAAGTTGGCTGTTCATTCCACTGTGGCGACCCCAGATTAATAAAGGGACTAAGCCAAAAAGAAAATGAATAAATGAATTTAATAGCTAATTCAGTTAATAATGTAACTAAAAAGCAGTATTTAAATTAAATAGAAAATGAGGCAAATAAAAAAAGGTTCACTTTTGAAGAAAAAAGAACCACCCCTTTCCCTGGACTGGCTACGGGCTTGTGCTTATCTTATTTTATTTATTTCAGTGTATGTAATTGAACATTTACTTAAAGAGCCAACTAAATCTGAGGACCAAACAGTTTTATAAAAATACAAGAAAAGCCAAGAATATAGAAATATAGAAAACTAGTTTGTTTCAGTATAGCTGCAAGATTTGTGTCATAAGGTCCCACACAAACAAACAAAAAAAAAAGTTTGACAGCAAGCATAGCACGTGAGTTAACAGAGAAATCTCCCAGATGAGCATAACTTCGCTTTCCGGGAATGTGGAGTTGAGCGCTCAGCCAGCAGATTGAACTCTCTCCATGGTGCTGAAGCGGTTGCCCAGGTGACATGATGATATCAAGGGCATCGGCGTTTCTACAGTGCAGCGCAGAGCCACTCAAACACAATAACAGAACTAAAACAAACCAAACAATCAATTTCTCAGAATACAAGTTAACCAACGTGACTGAATAAAATCACAGCCTCAAAAAAACTTCTTGTTTGTTAGATATCATCACTCTAAATAAACAGCGTGCTTCATAAAGTCTTCCACTCTCCTAAACAACATTGCGCCTTAAACTTTCGAAACTGCAACACGCTCAACATATTCAACAGCCTACAACAATCATTCTGTTTCAACAAGTATTCCAACAAGTATAAGATGAATCCATGACTCTCCGGTGAGAGTCGCGCGCGGTTTAGAAAGAAGGTGTAAATGGATGTAAACAAACGTAAATACACCGCTCGTAAATGTGACTGATGCTCTGATAGGGGAAACGCTGTGATGGAGCTCAGCTCGGTCTGATGAAATGAGAAGAATGGGAACTAGCAGACGCTATCAGGACTGGGGCAAACACATGAGCGAATAGGCAAAACGGCAACGCTGAAGAACGAGGAACGACTCTTACCGTTGTGAAGAGAGTCCACTCCGAGCCCCCGGTGTGATTCGGCGAGATAATCCTGCGAAATAACCGTGAATGAAGCTGAAATTTTAAACGGTATCCGTCGTCGCTCTTCAGTGCTGCTGCATCTGACGGAACAGCTGCTGCTTCCACGCGCTCACAACCAGAGACTGAGGCGCGCGCGACACGGATCAGCGTGCACGAGTCCGGAGAACTGCCGCCAATGAGCGAAGACACTTCATGTGTGCGTGTGTGTGTGTTTTGTCAATAGAACAACCAGATGGATATTTGTATGCTTGAAGCTGGTAAATGTTGTAGTCACGATTGCAATTATACACTGCATAGCTACTGTTTACATTAATAAGAAAATAATAAATTCATATTACCGTCATGTTATTTGATGTAAAAAATGTAGTATATTATCCTTAAATAAATAAATAAATAAAAGCATAATAATATAATAACAATAATAATAATAATAATACATTTAAATATAATACTATAAAATTGTTATAAATAATATTAATAATAATAATAACATAAGTAATTTTTCAATAATAGTAATAATTTATTTTAAAACTTTAATAATAATAATAATAATAATAATAAACCGGCTCATTATTTGGTGTAAATTAGCAGGTTGGCGTGTAAAGGAAATTTTTTTTGAAAAACTATACTAAATAATAATGTATAATATATTATCATAAAATAAATGAATAATAATAATAATAATAATAATAATAGGTTATTGTAATAAGTTATTAAGTAGTGTATGAGTGTGAATGAGTGTGTATGGGTGCTTTCCAGTACTGGGTGCAGCTGGAAGGGCATCTGCTGCATAAAACATGATGTGCTGGATAAGTTGGCCGTTCATTCTGCTGTGGCAACCCTGGATTGATAAAAGGACTAAGCCGAAAATAAAATAAATTAATGAATTAATAAACCGGCTCATTATTTGAATGTAAATTAGCAGGTTGGCATGTAAAGGAAAACAATTAATTAAAAAACTATACAAAATAATAATGTATATTATCCAAAAATAAATGAACAATGAATAATAATAATAATAATAATAATAATAATAATAATAATAATAATAACCTACTTAATGTAATGGTGCTATAATATTTATATTAATAATAATTATTATTTTTAAATATTATTATTGTCGTTTATATAATAATAATAATAATATAATAATAATAATAATAATAATAATAATAATGGCGGTATTATATTATGATAATATTAATATTAATTGTATTATAGTTATTATTATTACTATTATAATTATTAAAGTGTTTGGTGTTTTTTAATGGATGATGGACGAACAATATATTTTCTGTTCTGTTGATGCAGTCAGAAACTTCTCGAGATTTAGTCGAATCTCTAATATAATTAAATGCCATGATCTGTCTATTTTCGCTTCATTAAATGTAATGTGAAGTTCGCAAAGCTCCAAAAATTATATTTTAGATCCTACAAATCAGATGAGATTGAGGGAAGCAGCAATGTCAGCACAGTATTTTACAAATAATCTGGTAATTGTACTCCCTCTGTTGGCCACTGGACACACATGTCGGGTTTGGCAGAACGCTTTAGTCGGTTTATCAAATTATCAACTCGCCACTGTGACACGTCATAAAGTAACAAATGAGTGACTGAATGATGAGTATTAGCTGTGTTATACTTGTGTATGATTTCTGAATATAATTGTCTACAATTTAGCAATATGTTTATTTGAGATGCCTTTATCACTTGAAAATAGTGGAGAAATATATATATATATATATATTCATTTTCCTTCAGCTTAGTCCCTGATTTATCAGGGATTGTCACAGCAGAATAAACTGCCAATATTTATATTTGTGTGGGTTTTTTTCTCTCATGGTCTTTTTCTAAAAAATATCCTGTCATCCATTCTTAATGTACATGTTGTAATGCACATAATTTCTCAAGACAGATATTGCTGGCTGTGTGTGTGTGTGTGTTTTAACTCATTTCTAATAACTGAATTATTTTACTTTGCCATGATGACAGTAAATAATATTTGACTAGATATTTTTCAAGACATCTCCATACAGCTTAAAGTGACATTTAAAGGCTTTACAAGGTTACTTAGGTTAACTTAGCAGTTTATGGTAATTAGGCAAGTTATTGTATAATAATGACTTGTTCTGTCGACTATCGGAAAAAATACAGCTTAAATGTTTTAAAAACACTTCAGTTCAGTGTGTTTTATTTTTTATATAACTGGTCTAAATGTATTTTAGTGCAGTTTTATTGTGTTCACTTGATGATGATATTGTGATTTTATTTTTGAAGGAAAAAATGCTAAACTATTTTAACTACAGGCTCCTGTTAGACATTTCCTGCTAGAAAGAAAATAAGTTTGTTGTTATTTATAAGTAATTTTCTTAGGTTTTCTGAAAATTACTATGGCACATGCAGTATTGATATCTATTGTTTATTTTAACAATGTAATCTAAACAAACAGATTTATCAGAACACAGTTGAGGGTTGACTTGCCTCTGGCATTTGTTAGGTAAAGGGATATTATAAAAATAAATTTTTTTTTAGCAATTTTTAATAAAATGGAATAACCGAAAATGAAGTTGAAGGCAGAGAAAAACCTTTCACATTTTATAGCGATTTTAAGCATTTGTGCCTATTTTGGCCCAAAAATAAGTCCTTTAAGATCCCTAAAATACAAATATGTAGTATTTTTAATATGTATTTATTCTATATTAAATTATATATAAATATATATATATATATGAGCAATATCACACGAGTATACAGCCATATCGCACTGCTACGAGTGTGATATTGCGTTTATACAATCGTTTAAGTCAGAATTATTAGCCCCCCTTTGACTTTTTGTCTTTTTTGAATATGTCCCAAATGATGTTTAACACAGCAAGAAAATTTTCAGTCTGATTTTTTTTTCTTTTTGAAAAACTTTTTTCATTTTTTTTTCAGCTAGAATAAAAGCAGTTATTAAAAAAAAAAACATTTAAAGGTCAAAATTATTAACCGCTTTAAGCAATATATTTTTTCGATAGTCTACAAAACAAACCATCTATAATTCTCTCCGTTTATCAGAAATTGGAGAAAAAATAAACAGGGGGGCTAAAAATTTAGGGGGGCTGATAATTCTGACGTCAAATATATATATATATATATATACTATTTTTGTTTAAATTATTTTAAAAAATACTATTTTGTGTAAAATAAAATAATAATCAAATTGCTGACCGATAATAATTTTTAAAGGTCACGGGCATGTAGTCATATAAGCATTTCACTGCACATCATACTGTGTGTGAGTGAATATGAACGACACAATTTAAATTTGGATTTTGAATTTGTGTACACAATATGATCAATTATGAAAACGTGAAACTGAAAGAAGAAGAAAAAACATGGGATATTTGCCTGTTATTCACATCAAAAGTTAGGAAAAATGCTGTCAGTGAAACTATTTAAAATTCTGCAACTTTTTCACAAAATATAGCGAAGCATGTTCATGTATTTATCAAGATGGGCAAATAATAAACAATATTTGTAAAGCATTTATTAGTAATCATAGTTCAGCATTTACAAATGTATTATTTAAGTCCAAAATCACTTTATTTCCATTACCAAAGATGAGTGAATACTGTTATATTACGTGTTGTTTTTTGCTTGTTTATGCTAGTAAATACATTAATATGAACTAATGCATTATTGAAAAGCGTTCCCACCACCCCAATCCAAGGTTCATCGATAGCGTCTAACAGACATTTTATGGGGAAGTTCATGAGGAAATCCGGCAGACTTGTATTTCTGATAAACAGCCAACAGCGTAAAAACTAACAAAACTGATGTATCAGCAAATTGGAAATTCTGCATCAGACAAAAATCCACGTGCTGTGGATTACATGAAATAAATCAATGTCTGCACCTGACAGAAAAACACACATTCACACACAGACAGGATGCTGGTCCGGTGAGGAGTTTCCACTGGGGGCGGGGCTTACACTCTTTTCAGGAAGTGTTGGGACAGAGGAAATTTTATTTACGTGGTAAATAAAAAAGTTCCTCGTCTGCAACTCTTATAAACCAGGTGTGGTATGTTTGCACGTCCACATACTACATAACCTCCCAGAGTCTGCTTGTGACGGCAGACATGGCTGCAGTTACTCTTGTGGACCTCACAAACATCTGTTCTTCAGAAAGCGACATTTGCGTGAAAAACCGTATCCGCACATTCTGTGCAGTGACCGAGAATGGCTCACAGGAGCCGGTGTACTTCGTGGCGGATCCCGGGAGCTCCTTTGGGACGATCAGATTTCCGAGAAGCTCACTGCTTGAGATGTTTGTCGGTTTCAGCAATTCCCCACAGATCCTGTGTAAAAGCTCTCTTTCGGCTTCGTTATATTCGTTCAAACAGGCCATAGACGAAAGCGATATTAGTAACGTGAGGATAGTGACCTCGAGCCGCGGTAGAGGGGTGTTTCAGGTCTACCAGGAGCTGCTCTTCACTTCTGCTTATAGTTTTGAGTACTGCATCATGTTTGACAACCTGTCGTGTGACTCCTGTCCTCCGGGTGACCGAGCAAACAGCAGCACTCCTGCAGAAGGTGACGCCAGACTGGAGCTCAGCGCGTTCCTTCAGCGCCTGCCAGCGGTCAAAGGAGATATTACAGTTCTCAGATCAGCTGCCATTTCAGGTTAGTTGTATTTGACTTAGTTAGATAATTTACATCAAAATGAAAATTTAATCACTGCTTTTTTTACCAGCAAGTATTACTGATTATGATTTTTTGTTTTGTTGAACACAAAGGTAGATATTTTGAAGAATGTTAGAAACCGGTAACCTTTGTCTTTTATAGTAGGGAAAGCAAATGCTATGGGCATCAGTGGTTACTATATATATATATATATATTTTTTTTTTTTCCCTTTATTATTGCATTCCCCATTATTAACAAGCAAAGTGATAACTTTTAGCTTGAAGATAATTGCTTCTTCAACACATCATTCATTGTGAAAAACACCAACATGTGTTAAAACACTGGCTCAGCTTACCCCATAGTATGTGGCTCATTATGGCCCATAGTTGACAAAAACTAGTTTGCTTATTAGATCTTGATCTATTTGTTTAGATGTATCACCTTTTACTAATGACAGGAAAATTTTACGGATGGTGACCACTTCTCCCTTATGCTTCTCCTTTACATGGTCCAGCAAAATTAATGTATAACTCCAAAATGTATGATCACATGACCAAAAATAATATAATGGTTGCCTAGATACAGGGGGTGGGTCAACTTACCCACTGGCTCATCTACCTCACTCACCCCCTCCCCCAATATGATCACACTAAGCTTAGTTTGTGTACTCCTTAAGTGAAACTAACCAACTAACTAATGAATTCATTTGACGGATGGAATAATTTAATTGGGACAACACATTTTTTTTTATTCTTATATGATCTTTGGTTTTGTAAAGCCAGAAAAAATAATGTAAAAAATATATTAAATAATAGTTTATGAAATGGGAAGTTGGTATAAGAAAAAGATCAAAAAAGGAAAAAAATAATTTATTGACCTAAATGTAGCTCATACTAAAGGGTATCCAAGTTTTAGGAACAACAAATAATAACTTGACTTCTAGTTGATTATTTGGTATCAGAAATGTCTGTTATGAAAGGCAAAGGCCTCTAGATTACGCTTATTTTACCTAAATAAAATATAATCATGCCTTGATTTTTGATTATTTAATTAGGACAGTAAAGTCTGACTTTGCTTAGACAAAAGTCTTGTCACTTAACAGAAATAATGTACAGTATAGAATATAAAGTCATGGTGCAGTGGAAAAACAATTGATATTGCGTATGACTCAAATAACTTAGTCATCTGAAATGGCAAAGGGAGTGTTCTTGCAGGACTCACAGAGTTCATCAGGATATGTTAGATTTGTCTTCAAGGCCTCCTCCTTCATCTTACCCCAGACATGCTCAATAATGTTCATGTCTGGTGACTGGGCTGGCTAATTCTGGAGCACCTTGACCTTCTTTATTACATATACATATATTATACATGTTGTGTGTGTGTGTGTGTGTGTGTGCCTAATTAGATGTGGATCTTGTCATTTTTATGGCCAATGCAATGTAAGATGATATTTAGATTGTAATGTACAGCAATGACTTATAAAGATACATATAAACATCTGTGGTCACTGTATCTTGTATATGATAGCCTCTATGTCTGAAAAGAATGAATTTCACTTAGGTATTTAAACTCCTATAAGGTATCACAAGTTTTATGCACGTTAAAAATGAACATGTATAACAAAGCACTTTGTGTTTAATAATTACCTTGGCATTAGATTAAAGACACTAGTTAACAATGTTGGGGGTAATGCATTAAAAGTAATAATATTATTACTTTTATAAGTAACAAGTAATGCATTACTTAAAAAAATGAAGTAAAAATATTTTAGTTACTTTTTGAAAAAGAAATGTAATGCGAGTTACTATTTAGTTTAATTAATTAGCTTTAAAAAATTGCTAAAATAAAATTAGCATAGTCACATTAAATCACACACTCAATGAGAGAATGCCCTCCCCGGGGGAACAGACAGACAAAGATTTGTGCTATGGAAGTATTCTCATTATTTTTAACACATCGAAGAAAAGGAAAAGGGGTTTGTCTCAATAGACAGTGACTAATAAGGCAAAAACTACAAAGCAGACACATTGCTTCAAACTTTCATTACAGCGCATGTAGCTCCGGGGTCAGGAAGTTCCCAGAATATAACATTATATTGAATTCACAATATACTAAACAATATACTAAATTTGATATGTTTTTTTTTATGGTAAACGAAGGTTATACAGTTCATTGTTAATCGCAGAGCTAAAATTTAAATAATATTGCCTAAATAAATAAATAAATAAATAAACAAACAAACAAACAAATAAATAAAAACCTGCAAGTTCTGAAAGAGATCAAGCCTCACCCAGGTAAAACAAAAAAGGAACGCAAAAGTAACTCAAAAGTAACATAACACAATACTTTCCATAAAAAAGTAACTTAGTAATGCAACTAATTACCTTTCTGGGGAGTAATGCAATAATTAAACGCATTACTTTCAAAAGTAACTTTCCCCAACACTGCTGCTGCTGGAGTGTTTCAAATTCACTGGCTAAGAGAGTGACATGTGTCATCATGTTATAAATAAACGCCTCTACTCTTTCACAGACTGCTTTGGCCATGGCTTCAGCACCCGTACCGGAGGGATCTCCTACATCAGCACCATGAGCTCAATGAACCTCTTCTGCAACCCAAGGCGCAAAGACCCCAGAGCAGTGGTGGATGAAAATCGCCGGCGGCTCGGCCTGCAGGCTGGATTTCATTCTCGTCAGTTAAACCTCATAAAGGTAATTTACCATAAGGAGCATACTCTATTGACCTTATTCTTAAGTAAATAACAAAAACAAAAACATCATAGCATCGAAAAAATTATTTTACAAAAAAACTTAAAGCATGTGCAGGAAAAGACCACTAGCCATAAAAGAGCGCACCAGACTACTAGCCAGCGTCTCGCGTTTCTGTTGCACTGCTGTTTATTGTGTTTCATTTAAAGAAAACCGTGTCTAACTGTGTATTCTGTTGTTGCCTGTTTTAGTGTGTTCACGTATCCGTCTGCTATTCATGTCAATCCATTTATCTGTTTCATTCATTTATGTTGTTTACAAGGCTCTGACGAAGCGCACGGGTCAGCAGGTCACGTGACATACATTTTGCAACTCTTGTGTATAGTACATTAGGAACGAACGCCAGCCCTTGTACTTTTTTTCATAAATAGAGTAGGATAGTTCCAAGTGCACAATTACGCACAATACTGTTGTTAAGACTTTAAAGTGTAGCTCTAGGGGTTGTTACATGCCTGATGTTAAATGTTTAGAAGTGGGAGTAACAGTGAAAAAAGTTAAAAAAAAAAAAAAAAAAATGTTGGTTGGGGTGAGTGTGGGTCAGTCCCCTGCCTTCACAACAACACACCAAATTCAAGTTAAATAATTTATTAACAAAATGTACAATAGTATAACAAAACTGGGAAGCAAAGATAGACTTCAGGAGGGGGAGAGGCCAAAACAAACAAAAAGTACACTCTAGCTAGTTAGGGAGTAAAACTGTCTAAACTGACAAAGTAAAATTAAATCAACAACAGAAATGTACACTAACTCCCTAACTAAACATAAACAAGAGAAAAAGGGTTTTAGAAATAAAATGGCACACACCTCCCTATGGCTTCCAAACACAAAGTTAGTTTTAAAAAAAAAAAAAAAAAAGAGCTCAAATGGCTTCAGAGGCTTTAACAACAGATTTTAACTTCAACAAGTTAAACACAACAGCACCAATAATCTTTCTCAATAGAGCACCCAGGCAGGAGAGAGACCACACTCAGGAAGCAAGCTTCAATGTGGCTTGCAACTGGCAGGCTTTTAAGCTTGCCGGGCAACGAGTAGCAGGTGCAATCAATCAACTTCCTCTCCTCCACACCTAGCTGAGAAACAGGTTGCAGGAACGGAGAGGGAGAGGGAGAGAGAGAAACCAAACACAATAATACATTCAAAACACCATGGAATGTAACAGGGTTAAAGAGGTAACATTTTGATGTGACTTAATTTGTTGGGAGTTGGTGGCAAAATAGCAAACCGACAACCAAATATGACGAAAAAGGGCATTTATTTACAAAAGTAAAAAAGAATTCAACAGCAAAAATAATATGTACAAGTAGAAGTAGCTCACAAAAAAACAAAAACATTAATAAATCAATTTTAAGGGAAAGAGGATTTCAACCAGCGCCAAATAAATAACTGTTCATAAATAACTGTATAAGGGAGTCTGTCTGAGTCAGATTTCTAAATGTAAACGCGGCCTCGCTGATTAATCTTTCACATTTCTGTGTAATGCTTCACGTATTGATCACACGTCTTTGTCATTGACTTTTAGTGCAACCATGCCAGTGATGTGTGGGTGATGGGCAAACCTGCCCCGGACAGTTACGATGGACTGGTGACCAATCAATCAGACGTTGTCATTGCAGCACCAGGGGCTGATTGTATGCCATTGCTCTTCACTGACCCTGTATCAAAGGTCATTGGAGTTGCGCATGCAGGTCAGTCATCACACTGTAAAATCTATTTTAACACTCTTACTATTTCCTACCAGTGTGGCAACATGGATTTATGAATTGTGAATCCCTTGTTTTGGTCATTGATCAATTGAAATAATTTAAAATGAATAAATTGGGATTGGTGATTTTCATTTAAAGGGATAGTTCACCCAAAAATGACTATTTAAAAAGTAACAAATAGTGAGTAAATTGTCAATTTCAGGTAAAAAAAAAAACTATCCCTTTAATATTGCCTGATGGTATTTCTATATTGTCACACAGTTTTGGGTTAAACTCACTACTACTTAAATGCTTTCATTGCATTTTAGCAGTCATAAAGCTTATTGCAAAAAAAGGATAACAAAGGAATAATATTGTCACAGTTGACTTTGTCCTGAAGGGTCAATTTACCTAAAAAATGACAATTCGGTCAGTGAAAAGTTTTTAAAAAAAAATGTTGGTTGGGGTGAGTGTGGGTCAGTCCCCTGCCTTCACAACAACACACCAAATTCAAGTTAAATAATTTATTAACAAAATGTACAATAGTATAACAAAACTGGGAAGCAAAAATAGACTTCAGGAGGGGGAGAGGCCAAAACAAACAAAAAGTACACTCTAGCTAGTTAGGGAGTAAAACTGTCTAAACTGACAAAGTAAAATTAAATCAACAACAGAAATGTATACTAACTCCCTAACTAAACATAAACAAGAGAAAAAGGGTTTTAGAAATAAAATGGCACCCACCTCCCTACGGCTTCCAATCACAAAGTTAGTTTTCAAAAAAAAAAAAAAAAAGAGCTCAAATGGCTTCAGAGGCTTTAACAACAGATTTTAACTTCAACAAGTTAAACACAACAGCACCAATAATCTTTATCAATAGAGCACCCAGGCAGGAGAGAGACCACACTCAGGAAGCAAGCTTCAATGTGGCTTCAATTATACTTCATTACTTGTTCATAATCCGTTAGAGATTCTTTTTGTTTTGTCAGACACAAAGGAAGATATTCTGTCATATAATGTTGTAAAAAAAAAAAAACAGTCATCGACTTCCACAGTGGGTTTTTCCTATATGGATGTCAATGGCTGCTTTTTCACCCCAACATCCTTAAGAATATATTGTTTGGTCACATTTTATTTTGATGGTCCGTTTTTTATTTAAGTTACATTGCATCTACATGCCAGCTAATTCTCATCAGATTATCAGTTGACTGTTAGGTTGGGATTAGGGTTAGTGTTAGTTGACATGTACTTGCAGAGTTTCTAACAGTCAGTTAAATGTCTGTTGAAGGAGCAGTATCAACATATTAAGCAGTCTACTAATACTCAAATGCACCATCAAAATAAAGCGTTACCTCTCGTTTTGTGTTCAACAGATATACAAATATATATTTAAATTTAATTGAACTTAAATGAAATAAATTAAGGTTTATATTGAATTAATTTGCTTAAAATAAAAATTCTCATTTCAATCTCCTAGAGTCAAATATGACAACATTTATTAGTGTTTTTTATTATTATTTTCACAAATACTACAAAAAATGTATGCAAAAATACAAATACTGCAAAAAAAGATTTGTATGTATATATACATAAACTCACCAGCCACCAAAAGAAATAGCAAAAACATCCTAAATCAGATCAAAAGCTTGAACAAAATGAATGAAAGATTATATTAAATAAAATTTTTTTAAGCAAAATAAAACTTTTATTCTACTTACCTAAATACTGCAAATATATAATTATAATAAAAAAAATTATAAATCAAATAAAAAACTTAAAGTATTTTTCAAAAAAAAAAAAAGTCAAATATGACAATGACATTGTCTCAGTGTTTTTAGTATTATTTACACAAATGCTGCTCAAATATATAATTACATAATAGAAATAGAAAAGAAACCTAAACCAAATAAATTAAGATTGAGTGAAATTAATTTTCTTTAAACAAAATAAAACTTTTCTCAATCTTTTGGACACAAATATTACAACATTTTCATAGTGTTTTTTATTTACTTTATTTTCCCACATACTGTTGAATTATAATATAAACTCCTTTCTTTACTATTTATTAATACATAATGCCTCTAAATTGGGCTGCACAATATATAGTTTCAGCATCAATATAGCAATCCTTCGCAATAGTCACATTGCAGGATATATGTAATGTTAAGTTTGTGGTACAATAATTTGATTGTGTTTTTGATGCCTGTGATGGTATAATGATTTTAAAAGCGTTCAGGCATATGAATTTGTGCCATTTGTGACTTTAACAGCATTTAATTTTATTGAATTATTTTTATCATTTAGTTACTGTACTTAAATACTGTTAGACTTGGGTTTGAGTAAAACATTTTATTTCAATTGTATCTTTTATTGTATTTAGAGATTGTAATGCATATGAAATATGAAAATCCTCACAGAAATGTACTGCAAATAGCACAGACAAAATGTGTTAGGGAACCCCAAAAGATTAGATTTTATGGAGATGCTAATACATTCATTCATTCACTCATTTTCTTGTCAGCTTAGTCCCTTTATTAATCCATGGTTGCCACACCGGAATGAACCGCCAACTTATCCAGCACATTTTTACGCAGCGGATGCCCTTCCAGCCGCAACCCATCTCTGGGAATCACACACACACATTCACACACACACTCATACCCTACAGACAATTTAGCCCTCCCAATTCACCTGTACTGCATGTCTTTGGACTGTGGGGTAAACCGGAGCACTCGGAGGAAACCTACGTGAACACAGGGAGAACATGCAAACTCCACACAGAAACACCAACTGAGCCGAGGATCGAACCAGCGACCCAGCAACCATCTTGCTGTGAGGCAACAGCACTACCTACTGCGCCACTGCCTCGCCCTATTATTTATTTATTATTTTTTGAGGGGTAGCTGTGCCCCAGTAGAGCTTTATGTCTAGCAACACCCTTGCTTAGAGCTGTTCCTCAACACATGTAAATACAGAAATGAATATGAAATATGAAAATCCTCACAGAAATGTACTGCAAATAGCACAGACCACAATGAAAATATTTCACGGGACCCTAAAAATTCTATAGATTGTTTATTAGATTTTAGGGAGATGCATTCCCACTGCAGAATCAGCCCAATAAATCTAACATTATAAATTATTTTCAAATAGAGATAGTAGGACATCTGGTGAAATTGTTTTCATAATCACAATAAATATCCAAATAAATAAAATTGCAATGTTAAATTTTTCCAATACCGAGCATCCCTACCTCCAAATACCAAGCCATCAAAGATGCTACAGTATGCATATATAAGTTGTCTATCTTGCGTGTCACAGGCTGGAAGGGGACCCTGATGGGAATCGCCATGGCAACAGTAAAAGCCATGGTGTCAGAGTTTGGCAGCCGCCCTGCAGACATTGTGGTTGTGATTGGGCCTTCTGTGGGACCCTGCTGCTTCACTCTGGAGCAGGACTCGGCCAGAGAGTTTCATTCCATACACCCGGACTGTGTGCAAAACATGGAGTCATCCGAGCCTTCTGTCGACATCAGGGTCGCTACTAGGTAAGAATCAGAGGTCAGCCAGAGGAGTCCTGCTTTGACTTTAACTGTACACCGGAGACTGTTTTATTGATCTCAGTGTCCCTCAAGTAGGTCACGTCATTCCCTGAAGTGACGCACAGTAATGAACACTTCGAAATGAAGCTGATTTACAGCATCTCTATCTAGAATATTTGCAGAAGCGGAAAAGACGGATCATTGCTCAAGGGAGAAATGGCTATTTAGATTTAAAGTGCTTTTTTCGTCTTGATTCTAGTCCAAATGTCTACAAATTCTAAAACCAAGCAGCATTTTCTAAATAAGCAAAACATATTATGTTGTTTTCAGAAATAAATTGACAATAATAAGAGTGTTTTTTTTCTTTTTTTTTCTAAAAAGAGCTAAATTATCTGCCAATGGAGTAAGCAAAATAATCTTGTTTTCAATTTTGCTAAGCCTATTGGCACATTATTTTGCCTGTGTTAAGGAAAAAAACTTCATTTCGATATTATTTTCTGACTTGTCTAGAAAATGCTTCTTGATTTAATAATTTTTTGGATAATTGGACTTGAAACAAGACTTTGTTGCAGCAGTAATTTGCGAGACACAATAATTCAATATTAGGTCCTACATAAAAACAATTTTTACATTGTAACAACTGATCAAAAAAGTCATAACAATTTGTTTTTTAACAGCCATTCTTACACTTATTTGCTGAGTGTGGATATTTTGCTGAATCGTGGATAAATAAATATGACTCTGCCGTTTGTGTCAGCAAGTAACTTTCTAAATGAATAGTTCATTGAATCATTTATTCAAACTATTTAAAATTTTACTAAATAGGTCCAAAATCAGTTTTTCTTTTATGAGCAATATCATTATAATAATATGTAAAGATCATCTTTTATGAATATATTTTGTAATTTTTTAACTGTAAATATATCAAAACTCAATTTTTGATTAGTAACATGCATTGCTAAGCATTAATTTAAACCATTTTAATGGTAAGTTTTTACAATATTCTGATTTTTTGAAACGTCAATTTCCAGATCAAAAAACTGTAAATTATAAAGTTGAAGTCAGAATTATTAGACCTCCTGAATTATTTTCTGTTCAACGGAGAGAAGATTTTTTTTCAACACATTTCTAAACATAATAGTTTTAATAACTCATTTCTAATAACTGATTTATTTTATCTTTACCATAATGACAGTAAATAATATTTTACTATATATTTATTAAGACACTTCTATACAGCTCAAAGTGACATTTAAAGGATTAACTAGGTTAATTAGGTTAACTGGGCAGGTTAGTGTAATTAGGCAAGTCATTGTATAACGATGGTTTGTTCTGTAGACTATCGAAAATGTATATAGCTTAAAGGGGCTAATGATTTTGACTGTAAATCGAGTTTTAAAAAATTAAAAACTGCTTTTATTTTTAAACAAATAAGACTTTCTCTTGAAGACTAAATATTATTAGACATACTGTTAAAATTTCCTTGCTCTGTTAAACATCATTTGGGAAAAATTTTTAAAAGAAAAAAAATTCAAAAGGGGGCTAATAATGCTGACTTCAACTGTGTATATATATATATATATATATATATATATATATATTACCATATATGAGTTATATAAGACAAACTGAATTAAACATGGAAGTTTGAAGGAAAAAGACCAAAACAGTATTTCCCTGGTAATTAGTGCTATTTACAACTTGAAACTATTAATTAACACTTACCCATAAATACTTTTATTTAAATATTTGGCAAAGATTATTTGCGAATAATCGCATCCAAAATAAAAGTTTGTTTTGACATAACAGCAAATATATTTGTATGTGCTGTGTATATTTATTATATAGGATTCAGCTGGTAGGGCATCCAGCGTAAAACATGCTGGATAAGTTGGTGGTTCATTCCGCTGTGGTAACCCCTGATTAATAAATTCAAATCAATTCAATTTGTTTATTGTCATGAGCACAGTAAGGAAACACAATTCCCTGTACAATAAAATTCTTACTTTGCCGTCCACAGTGAAGTCATAAACACAACATACACATCATACACGACATACACATAAACACAGATATGTACAAAGAAGTGACAGAAGTATAATTATAAATTGTAAATATATAAATATCTATGAATGTAAACAATATAGAATACTGATTGTAGAGTAATGAAAACAGACGTAAATAACGTGTAAAGGGACTGAGCCGAATGATAATGCATGAATGAATATACACAATACACACAGGCATGCTTATATTTGGGGAACAAATATATTTAGATATAAAATATATATGAATATGGTACCATTTTTTATACATTTAACAAAATAGTATTACATATCCATTGCAAATAAAAAATAATACACACAAATATATTGTAAAGACAAACTTTTATTTTGGCTGCAATTTAATCTTTGACAAGCACTAATAAATATTTGTATTTATTATTTGTACAGTTAAAAGAGTCAACAATGCACATAAACTTTCTAGATCTATATAACCTCATCATTTTTATTGTTTACATTATTTTACACTTATTTAAATGTCCTTCTGTGTTCTTATTGTTAGGTATGTATGTATGTATGTATGTATGTATGTATGTACCCTGAGCTTCTGAAAAAACCCAAAAAATGCCCTGTGTGTTTGCGCACGCTCAAACCTTATTCTGATTCTGAAAAGTAAACTAAAATAAGTTTGCAGTTTTTATGTACATTATATATATTATTAAATATATTTGTATTGTTTTACTGTATTTCTTTTAAATGTCCTATAAAATTTATCCTAATTTTATTAGTATTACTATTATTAAAAGCCTATTCTTATAAGACATGATTGTTGAACCGCAACATGTCAACCAACCAATCATGCTTTTGTCTTGTAGAGTTCTGCTGGAAAGAGGTGGGATTAAACCTGAGCACATAGAGAACATCCGAATCCCAAACCAGACGGATTCTATACCATGCACATCCTGCAGTCCTGAGCTATTCTTCTCCCATAGGAGAGACGGACTCAACTTTGGGACACAGATTGGGTTCCTGTGGATCAAGCCCTGACCGAATGCACAAAAGCTTTAGATATAATTGAAGTCAGAATTAATATTAGCCCTCCTGTGATTTTTGTTTTCTTCTTCTTCTTTTTTTTCCCAAATGAAGTTTCACAGAGAAAGGAATTTTCACAGTATGTCTGATAATATTTTTTCTTCTGGAAAAGGTCTAATTTGTTTTATTTCTGTTAGAATAAAAGCAGTTTTTATAAAAACCATTTTAAGGTCAATATTATTAGCCTGTTTAAGCTATATATTTTTGGATTGTCTACAAAACAAACCAGTGTAATAAAATTACTTGCCTAATTACCCTAACTTGCCTTATAAATCTAGTTAAGCCTTTAAATGTCACTTTAAGCTGTATAGAAATGTCTTAAAAACATACATGGGGCTAATAATTCTGACTTCAATTGTAGTACTTCAAATGACAGTACATTCATTTATTTATATAGTTAACTAATTAGTATTGAATTACCCTACTCGCAACATGTGACACTTTTTTTTTACTTTTTTAGCTTACAAAATAGACTTTTACAGTATCTTATATCAAAGTCTAATGTATGTAGATGTAAGATAGTCATCATTTTTTTTATCAGCACTTTTAACAAACTAACATGTATATAATATTACCTATGTAAATAGTGAGAAAACATTTTTAATAAGTATAGATATTTCATATAATTTTTGCAGCATTATTCAACAAAAAAGGAAACTAAACAGGCTTGGAACAAGCGAAGAGTGAGTAAATGATTATTTTTTTAGGGTGAACTATCCCTTTTAAAACTTACTTGAAAGCTTTTTTGTTGTTTGCATTTTGTTTGTCTAGATTTTCAAGAGATTGTTTATTAGATTTTGCCAGTCCTTAGGATAATGGTGACACTGTTGTTGACATTTAATAAATAAGTTTTTATAAGCCCATTTACAGCTATGGAAATAAAATTTCTCTGGATTTACTGAAATTAGTAGGTATGTGTGTAATTGTTTTTTTATTCTGTACAAATTTAAAAAATTATAATATTGTTCTACTATATTGTTTTGAGTTCAATATTGTTCAAAGTTCTACTATATTGTTCTAAGATAAAATGTTGATATTGGGTTCTCTACAAAATATAAATATAAACATATCAGTAAACATGGCATCTTTTATTTGTCATTTTCCACATTTGTCAAAAGTCAAGACTTTTATTTCCAATTTAAAAGAAATAATATCGGCAATTAAAAAAAAAAACCCTAAATTACACTTTACTCAAAGGCATAACTGTGAATTGTAAATCCAGTGAAATGACATATATCTTAATTTGCATGTTAAATTTGGAAAACTAAGGGCTAGTTGTATATTGCAAGTCAATTTTATTTTTTTATGTTAATTTGTTGAAAAATAAATTAAACATTAAATTAATATTTATTATTATATTTATATATAAATTTTACATTTTTGAACAAAATCCTGCCAAATTATAAAACTATGATGGTATTAAAGGACTGGTCTATTATTAAAGGACAGTAAAATTAAATGTATAATGGAAGCTAAGCTACTAAAATAAATGTCAATAATAATCTAATTCAGAAATAGGCTGTTTCCCAGTGTTGGGTTGCAGCTGGAAGGGCATCCGGTGCATAAAACTTATGCTGGATAAGTTGGCGGTTCATTCTGCTGTGGCAATCCTTGATTAATAAAGGAACTAAGTCGAAAAGAAAATGAAGGAATGAGAAATAGCCTGTTTATATCTTGCTGGTTTAAAAAAAAATATGGCTGTACTGTAACATGATGAATGTACACTAGAGGGAGATAATAGATTTATTTGTTGTCTCTACGTTTATTTTTTTTTATAGTCTATGGATCTTTGTATTGTTTGACCACTATATTTATGATTTTTAAATCTGACTGTTTATTAATTAAAACTGCACAAAATATATCACATACAAACCTTCTTCAATGTCATTTCAAACCTAGGCTACAGTGAATTGACAGTTGTTTAAAAATTGTGTGCATTTAAATGATGTATAGTAAAGTTAATCATACATTACATGTCATTCCACTCAGGGGCCAATTTTTAAATGTGGGCCGGTCAGTTTTTTTTAAAATATGTATTGTTTTTAAGTGCAGACAGCTTTTATCTCTTGCTAGATGTGATATTATGATGATGATGATATTAATAATAATAATAAATGTTAAGCATTTGGCCCAATCGGCAACTGCTGCCTGGTTTCAAGATGGGCCGAACCAATCTGAGGTTACCCATACATAATCAAAATCTGTCAAGAATGTCATATTATTTCACCATCTGTAGACTAAATAGTGAATGTGCGTGTCTGTGGGTGGGGCTTTTTCGGTGTGGTAATGTGGACTGGTGTGGCAACAGTGCCAGGGCTGAATTTTTGTCCCAGTCCGCCCATGATTCCACTTATTAATTGGGAGTTTCTAGTGTTCTCTGTCATGTTAACTCTCTTACTCCAAGGTCCATATTGAAGTTGATATTTAGCTGCACAAACAAATCCCCTCCAGTCTGATCGGTTGTCCACATCTTCTTCAGTAGCCCCAATCCTCTCCTTGTCAACCTTTACTTAATTCCACCAACTTTGTTTCTCTTTTCCATTTGTTCGTCTTCCTTCCGGATTAGATTTCACCTTTTTTAATCCATTTATCCTCTCCTCAGTACATGTCCAGCCCATTGGATTCTTTTAACCTTTATTTCACTTAATTATATCTGCACTATTGTAGAGGTCCCTAAATAAAACTCAAACAGATTTAAAACAAGTGAAAGGTTAGTAAAATGGACAGAATTTTCCAGTTTTTGGTCCAACTATCACTTTAATATTTGGTGATTTTTTAAAAGTTGGACACTAGAGGTCGCGCGCGTCCATGCTGTTCCTTGTTTATTTAGAGACGCTGATTTTTGGCTGGTCATCAAGCGCCCTTCAGCAGCATCACAGGCAGGCTTTTGTCTCCAACAGCACTTTTGCAATGTCACCAAAACATCTCAGCTATTCTTTATCTCGTGCTGCTAAAATGTCAACATCATTGCCTATCAATAGTTAGGCTATACAGAAGTCCAAGGGGGAGAAGAGTGACTTGATGTTTTGACGAGCACTGAAGAAACATCTCTCGTCAACTCGTGCACGTGTGTTTTAAAACACGCGAGTGTGAGTGTTGACAGAATATGACAGGTAAACCACATTGCAGACAGACAACAATGTCTCAATTGAAGACACACAGCACATGTATTTTAGCTGTCATATATGCTATAGGGTCAGTAAATACTGGGCAAATTTTTGAGTAAATGCCAAATAAGTTCAATATAAGCTCCATTGAAAAATTAAAGTGCGTATATAAGATCTGTCATTATCACAATGAAGTACATTACTTTTGTTGTCAACATAATTGCATCAGATTTTCTCAGTAAGTACAGCTATATACTGTAGTTGATCTGTTCAGTCACATTGATGTGCCCGCCATTTTGGAACAGTCAACATATGAAGAGTTGAGATGCAAAAACCTGTAAGTGCCATCTGAAATTGTCTTTCTAAAATGATCATTTCATTATAGGAGTAAAGTTGGTTTTATATTCGGAAATTCAGACATTCTTCTTAATAATATAATTTCAGAAAAGTATTCTTTGCAGATTCTAAATAAGGAAATCATATTAGCAGCGGCGATGCAGTGGTACAGTAGGTAGGGCTGTCGCCTCAGCAAGAAGGTTGCTGGTCGAGCCCCAGCTGGGTCAGTTGGCGTTTCTGTGTGGAGTTTGTATAGTTCTCGCTGCGTGGGTTTACTCCAGGTGCTCTGGTTTTTCCAAAGACATGCGGTACAGGTGAATTGGGTAGGCTAAATTATCCATATTGTATGAGTGTGTATGGATGTTTGAATGTTTCCCAGAGATGGGTTGCAGCTGGAAGGGCATCAGCTGCGTAAAAACATATTCTGGAAAAGTTAGCGGTTCATTTTGCTGTGATTCCGTGTTCATTCTGCAGATTAAAAAAGGGACTAAGCCGAAAAGAAAATGAATGAACATTAGCAGCAAATGACTTTAAAAATACAACATTGTTCAAAGTGAATTAAATAGTACTAATGTTGTTTAGAAGTCATACTGGCATGCTAATTTCGATTGAATATTCAAAGTAACATGGTAAACAATATAGAGACTGCTAAATGAACGAATATGCGAATATAAAACTAACTTTACCTCTATAATTTCTTTCAGGCTCTAATGTCTATGTTTAGTTGTTTTGCTTGAATGGCAAATAGTACATTATTTTCATTGCCTTTAACATGAAACAATTTAATTTAAACATAAGAGAGAGAGAAAAAAGTGGAAGAAAACTCCAGATGACAATTAGAGGTTTTTGCATCTGAACTCAACATATAAAGTCATGAAATCTGTGACTCTTCTAAGATGCTACATCAATGTGTAGTCTCTGGTTGTGAAATTGTAAATGCAGATTTCAGTTCCCAAAGGGATGCATAACCTTTCACATCTAAGAATGTTTTTTTTTTTTTTTGTATTAACAATATTAATTTTAAACTATGGTAACTTTAAGGCCTGCTTAAAGAATAAATAATAATAATAATAACATCACTGAAGTTCTAATTGTATTCACTACAAATACCTATAAAAAGATTACAATCCATCATTTTTTTATCAGTACATTTGAATGGATTCTTTGTGTTTTGGCCCATGGTAACCTCTGATTTGGCCCACCGTCTTATCTTAGAAGAGAGGGGAAAAGATGGGAAAGGTTGTGTGAAATGTCTTTAACAGAGATGGTCCTTTCTAATTTAACATAACTTTTATTTGGTTGTTGTTGAGCTACAAAAAAATAACTGAAATTAAATGAATGAATCAGATCTTTTTTATATACTGTACATACTGTCACTCGATGGACAGAGGACAATGCAAAGAACATTAGTAGGCAAATTAAGGCAAAGGCAGGTACAGCTTGACTAGTGTATTCAGCATTGACTTCCATCAGTTATAGTATTTTTTTCATTGAAGAAGTAGGGCTGCTCGATTATAGGAAAAATAATTCATAATTCAGATTATTTTGGTCATAATTGTAATCACAGTTATTCAAAACAATGTACAGTTGAATTCAAAATTATTAATTTTTTAAATAAATATTTCCCAAATTATGTTTCACAGAGCAAGGAATTTTTTGCAGTATTTCCTATAATATTTTTTCTTCTGCAGAAAATCTTGTTTTGTTTTGGCTAGAATAAAAGCATGTTTATTTGTGTGATGTTACTGTCAAAATATTGCACTGCTGTCGGCCAATCAGATTTA